TGCAGCGCAGCGCAGCGGGCGCCTCGCCCGTTGATGGCAGCCCGAGCGGGCTCTGCCATGGCCGTCCGCGGGCCGCGGCGCTGTTAGGAGCGGCAGACGGGCTGCGCGTTCGCCCCTTTGGCCCGCCCGCCTGCCTCGCCCGCTGGGAGCCGGCGGCCGCCGCCGACATGTCGCTGGCCATGGAGGAGGAGGAGTACGCCAGGCTGGTGATGGAGTCGGAGCCCGAGTGGCTGCGGAGCGAGATCAAGCGGCTCTTCCAGGAGCTGGGCGAGACCACCCGGGAGAAGATCCAGGCGGCGGAGTACGGGCTGGCCGTGCTGGAGGAGAAGCAGCAGCTGAAGCAGCAGTACGAGGAGCTGGAGCTGGAGTACGAGACCATCCGCACCGAGATGGAGCAGCTGAAGGAGGTGAGGCGGCGGCGGGGGGGCCCGGCGGCAGGTGCCCGCCCTGCGGAGCGGCCTGGGCCCGAGCCCGAGCCCGCCCGCTGCGGGTGAGGGGGGCGAAGGCGCTTTGGGGGAGGTGGGAGCGGGACAATGGCTGTCTTCGAAGGCCGGGGGTGGTGGGCTGAGGGGCCTTGGGGCTGCTGTGGGGCGGTCGGAGCGTCAGCCCCCCCCCGGCGGAATTTGGAGGAGGGCGACCAGGCCTCAGTCTTCCTCCAGGCTGCGCGCGGTTAAGCCCTTCCTTCCCCAAAATGACAGCTCTCAGAGGCGGTTGCCTTTCAGACCAGGACAGGGGAAGAAAAACCCACCAGTTTTTCTGCCCCTAACCCCTCTCCCGTGCCAGGGCGTGTGGGAGGGAGGCGGGTAAGTGCTTGTCTTTCTCTTCCCGTCCCGTCTTGCCTCAGGCTCTGGTAGCGGTCGGCCTCCGGGCAGCAGCAAGGAGAGGAGCCTCTCGGCTGCCCCCAGTGAAGCCGCGCTGCGCTGCCTCCCGGGGCCGGGGCTGCTCGCTGCTGTCACCTCCCTCCTCCTCGGAGACCGGACCGAGCAGGCGCTGCACGGCAGGGGCAGAGGCTGGGGAACCCGGCTTTTGGTGAGGGCCGGGATGCGCCTTGGGCGGCCGTCACATGCCAGCTTTTGTGTGGAGGGAGGAACCTTGCGTTGGTGTTAATGACTTCCTTAATGCGGACCACCGTGAAAATAACGCACTGGGCTTTAGCTCACGCAGCTTTGTTTTGGTGGTTCCCTGTTGTTGGCTTTTTTTTTTTTTTTTAAGGCAACTTCAGATTTAATCTGAACAGTGGAGTAAGGTTTGTCAGAAGAAATGCTGTTTTCTTAGGTCAACTGGCGTGCAAGTTTTTCTTGTGCATGATCTTCTCCAGGTCTAGAACGCGGGCAAAGCACTGCCTCAGGAAGAGGCCGTGCACAGAGTGGCACTGACTTGCCAGAATATGTAGACACACGGTTAGCTCTCCTTATGACAGCATAGCTGATTCCCTGCCAGTCTACTACATAGTATGTCCCATGGGAGCTTGTTTGCCTGTACCCTTGGTTATTTTGGTGGCTGTTTCCATGCAGGCAAACCCTGGGCTGCTTTTCCACTGATTTAGGCCTTGCCTTGATTGCAAAAGATCTGGTACAGCCTAAGAGGTGAATATATATGCATTTATTTGACCAGTGCAAACTGTACCAGATGGGTCTTTGGTTTAGCTCATTCAGTTGGAAATGGATTTGAAGTAACATCAAAATATGCTATTTCAAAGGGAAAGTAAATACATGTAAATGGGCTGGTACAAATTCAGCTGAATCTGTGAACGCCCTCACTTCCTGCATCCTGTGTGTCTTTTGGTCTTGTAAATAAAGCTTTATTCTGCTTTTATGTTAAACAAGCATAAGCAAAAGAGGTTAATTAGTTTGAATTATATGGCTATAAACTTGTTAACTAAATATGCAAGCTGAACTGATGTACCGCTATAACTAAAGACACTTGAGACCAACAAGGTTACAGCAGCATACAGTTGCAGAGATGCTACGTGAAAGTCAAGGGTAGAGGCAGTCTTGAAAAGAAGGTGAGAATGATAGAGTTGTGCTAAAGGGAAGAAAAGTCAGTAAACCCGTTTGGTAGGTGGGATGGAAAACATGGCATCGAGAGGTGAAGGGACTGGCCCAACCTCATTCAGCAAGCCAGTGCCTGACCCACAAATGGAAGCCAGGTTGAAGTCAGTCACAAGTAGTGCTTTATTCGCTGTGCTGTGTACACTTGGGCATTACACGCTTTAGTTTTCAGGTGGAAAAAGGCTTGAAGTCAACTTATTTCCATTCTTTTAGGGCTGCAACACTTCAGAAGCTTGTAGAAGATTTAAAAAAAAATTAAAATGGCAGGATCAGCAATGATTCACTCCTTTTTGCTTTTAACATTCTGAAGGATTTGTTTTGTGTGTGCATGTCCCGTTGTAATTAAGTCAAAACCTGGGAGGCAAACAATTCTGGGAACAGCTTGAGGACTGTTAGCCTACACAGGGAAAAAGCATTGCTCCTCTAGCTTGCTTGTGATGCTGTGGAGGAATCTGGTCTGCATTAGATCTGGTAAACCTTTAGCAGATGCATGAAGCATGCTCTCAGAGGACAAGTTTATCTTCTTTGCTGTTAATGCAACTTCTTGCTTTTCCCAGGCACAGCTAGAGGAGCGTTGCATACAAGAGTTGCCACATGTCAAGCTCTAACCTAAAGGGACTCCACCTTGGGTTACCTGAGGTTGTTCTTGGGGAAGGCAAGGGATTGATGGTGGCATGTCTGACTGGAACAAGAGTGCTTTCCATCTCTTGCTTCTTAACTGTGGCTTCATGCAGCCTTTTAAAATACAGCCATTCTAGTCTCTATAGATCCTGTTTTGTTCTCTCTACATCCAGAGACCTCAGTAAGCACAAGGCCATGTTATGCTGAGTGCTGTGCAGGCACACAGCAAAGTTTCCTGTCCTGCTGGGTGTTGTAGATTTGGATATGCTTTAATTTGTTTAATGTTATGAAGCACCCCGTATCGTGGCCCTGTTCATGCCATAGGGAAATGGGCTCTGAGCATGGGAACTTTGTAATATAGTTTGTTGGAAGTACAGGCTTTTCTGCTACAGTCATCAGATCTTCCATAGCTTTCTGGCCAGGTTCTCCTACCTGCTCCCCATCCCCGATTGTGGCAGAATTTCGTAGCCTTAACCTCCACAGTTTTACCCCTTTGGCAAGTGCAGATGGTATCCTCAGAGCTGTACCCCATTTTGTAAAGATGTCTGTGTACACACAGTGTTTGCAATTCAAGTCCTCCTGGTGAAGCTGGGGAGCTGTCCTGTCCTTGCACTGAGGCTCCACACCGACCTCTCCTTAGTCAGGGTCCTTGATAAATTGTTGACTCTTCCCTGGGTTTGTCCTTTTACCTGCTTGCATGCTGACTTAATCTTGTATCTTTTATGATCATTTGCGCTGCATTTCTTCTATCGCTTTCATTTGAGAGAACCGAACTTAAATACAAACTGTCTCCCCAGGTAAACTTACTGGTTATCTTGAGTCCCACCTTTGCTTTTGTGAAATGGAATTGATTTCAAACTTTTATTAAACATTATAGATAAATAAATTTTCTCTAGTTCAGAGAAATAAGATACTAGCTTTCTTGTAGTGAAATACTACATCACGTTCTATACATATTTTTTTTTTTTTGCTGTTCTTTCCCCTCTAGGAGATGAAGTAATAAAGAGTTGTTTCTGTAGGCTGTGTTCAACTAGTAAGTCATCCTGCGAGCCTTTGTCTGCAGTGGTGCTAATTGTATAAATTATAGGGCTGTCTACCTGCCTGAGCCGGGATTTCCGCACTTACGGGGAAGATACGTAGGATCAGCTTTTTGTGCGCTCCAGCTCACAAAAGTGATTGTCTGGGGATTCAGTTATTGGCATTCCTGAGGATTTATAGGGAAATGTGGCGTGGAAGGTTAGCTTGGAAAAGGGGTTATCTGCTTCACTTGGTACTTTCGAGTTGCTTTTGAGATGTCAGATTTATAACTAACTATTACCTCAGTTATGAAACTGGCTGCTGTCCAAAACTCCTTTCTGATTAGGGGGTTATGTTGTATTGGTGGTGGTAGACTTGAGTTTAAATCCCTCAGAAAACATGGGTGTTATATTATGAATTATTTATTTCTGTAATAGTGTAAAAGTATGCAAGTAGACTGTGGCTGTCCTTGAAGTCTAAAAGCATATGTCAGTACATCACGGCTAATGTGATGTATATTATATGGTTTGTATATGGTTTTTGAAGGGGGGGGGGCATACAAGGAAGAGTGGCAAGGATCTGTACATAACTCTTCATTTTTGTAGGGTGCCAGTGGCTCTTGTTTCTGGTTTTTGCCTTTAAGGATCGCGTATTGACTTTATGCCATGACATGAATTCTCTGTAGAGGTTTACTAGGTGGTCTTGGAAGCTGTCTTTGAAAGAAACATGCAAATAACACCTTGCTGCTTCAGCTCCCGTTAAGCTAAAGTGGGGTGTACTATGCAACTGAGGTGATACGTCCTGGGCTGTAATATTTGTGCTGTTTATTTGAATGTACTGCTCAGGTGGAGTGTACAGTATCTGTGATCACTGACAGAAGTTTTGCTTTTCTTAATTCACTTACCTATGTAACAGTTAATTGGATACGTGATACATCATCCAGACTGGATTAATGTTTTAACTGTGCACCTTCAAAAGTGAAGGAGAAATCGTTCCCTTTCCTGTATACCTTATATAATGCTGTGTACCTTATAGACAGACATATAAGCTGGTTACTGAAGAAGCAGTGATTTTCCTCACTGGATTTACCTACTTTCAAAGCATTTTACCAATTGTGCTGCTGTACTGCTGCGCTTATTTTATGTGTAGGAACATAAGGGCAAAGAGGGAAGAAATGGCTGGGCTAAAGTCACCTAACAAGCCAGTGGCAGACTGGGATTAAATCCTCTGTGCTCATAGTACAGTGCTGGATTGACCTGGTCTTTCCATTTAATCATGGTAAATAATGATGTTCAGTAGTAATACCTCTAAGGCCTCAGGTACACCTCTGCAGCCTCCTCCTAACAAATACGCGGGTGTAATATTGATTCCTGCTGAAAGGGAAGGACCTTAATGACATTTGAGAAAACAGCACTGGAAGGTTAGAGGTAAAAAGCAAAGGGTTTAGTGCATAAAATAAAGGAAATGTTTTTTTTTTAAATAGACTAGCTTAGGCAAAATTTAATTCTGGTTATACATGTGTAAATCTAGAATAAGGAAAGTACGACTACAAATTGTTGTTGGGAAACTGATACCAGTTTTGCACATACTAATGGAAAATAGTTATATGTCTGTGAACCTGTCTTGTGGATTTAATGGTGATTGTCACTTGGACTCCAACACCTGCCACGCTTGAAATGTAAGAAGAGAACAGAATTGCTGTCTCTAGTGTAAAATCA